AGGAGGGCCGCCCCCCTCCAGGTGCCGCCCCAAGCACATGCTTGGAGGGCTGGTGCCTGGAGCCGGCCCTGCCGAGAGCCAAAGATAAGCGCTGTCCAGAGCCCTCACCGCCTCCTGCACCCCAACCCCCTGCCTCAGCTCGGAGCCCACTCCCACAGCCAAAATCCTGCTGCTGTTGGAGTGGGGGTGGGCATGGTGGCCTGAGACTGCCCCAGCAGTAGCTGGTGTGGCTGGCCCTGGGACTGTCCGAGCTGCTCAGGCAGCCCCCGGGCCAGTTGCAGAAGTCACGGAATCCATGACCTCTGAGACAGACTTCATTATGAGTCCTTAGCAGACTGCACTGGTACGCTGCCAGATGCTGTACCAGGCTTCCATGATTTTCTCAACAATTTCTGGAGAATTTAAAACAATATTCTCTCCCTTATGTTTGTGAGGAGCATAACAGATGCAATGATGTCTGAATCTTCAGATAAACAACAATATTTCTGCCATGTGATGTGTCCTAATCTTCTCAACAAGATTCTACTTCTGAGACCTGAGGTCTAAGAAGTTGCATCTTTAACTATCTTGCTCATCGTTTGGACAGTATTATATATTGAAATATATACTGAGTGGGAGAGTGAAGCATGCTATAGCAATATATTCTAGATAACCTGTGTTTTGTATTATTTATATATTAAGTCAATTACAGTGGTTTTGTGGATTTTACAGTGTTCTCTTATTTACAGCCCTACTTACTATGGGAAAAAAAAAGTTTTGTCAGCTGACTAACTGAGCAAGCAATGGAACGAGACCTTCTGTCTTTGCAGAATGGGAACTGAATGTACGAGCTTTGTATGTATGTTTTTCCAAATGTGTATCTCATACATCCTACATGTTCTAAGTTTCTAAGTAATAAAGTTTCATCTTATTCTAAATGCACAAGTCATATAAACTAAGTCAAATAGGAGGTAGTTGAACAGAGGCATTAACAGGAAATCTCTCAGTCTAAGGACTGTACAGGCATAGAATCATCTTAGAAAAGCTTTTATAATCTAGCCCAGGGGATGTGTAAATTTAGCACCATATACTACCCTTTATCTCAGTGGAATTCCCAGGGATGATATTGGAAGGTTTGCGCAAAGATCAAGGGTAGAATATGGCCATAGGTAGTGAATAATTAAGACCCCTGCAATTTGTGCTTTCAGCTCAGTACCCAATTGTTGGTGTGTTTAGATGTTACTTTCCTTGTTCTGTGTACTCTGTAACTAATAGCCAGTGTCTCATACTTCCCTTAATACTTTTCTTTGTGAGTTTTTTCTATTGTAAATACAGCCCAGATCCTAGTGAACCAATGTGTAAGGGCTTCCTATGGATTTTAATAGTATCTTGGTTTAAAGCTATATCAGAGTAGTTGCAAGGTTTTTGGAGGGGTGGACTTTATGCAGTGGAAGCATTAATTCTTAATCTGTCTTTCATAATAACCTGTACTGTACCCAGTATCCTGTCAGCTGAGGACTGGACTGTAGCCTTCAGTGCCATTATTTAACTGATCATGAGGTTGCTATTAGGGTGACTGGGACAAAATAACTGCACTACCAGCTTTGGCTAGCCCAGGGACCTCAGGGATGTTATCAGTGAGCTTGTATGTGTGTGCGCTTTCCATGTACTATCCCCAGCTCTGCTCAGATAGCTGGTTCAGCAGACCTTGACAGTACTATCCTGTGTAGTTGAGTACTGGATGCTTGAATGTCGTTGCCTCAGTAGCACTGTTTAGACTGCTCGGTGCTTCTGTCTTTGGAGCTTCAATGTTAATAGTAGTGCAGCATGTTAGTTCAGCAGACCTCAAAGTTACTCCTAAAGGAAGACCACAGGTACAGTTCAATGGCAAAGGTGCTGGGCCAGGTTTATTGTCAACGAAGCATGGTACTAGCTCCCCTAATCAATGTCTATTGTTACACTAACACATGCATGCTCATTACAATGGACTCAGCTCAGTCAGTGGTGGGATTTTCCACTGCTCCCTAGACTGGACAGAGGCTTAAAGAGAAGTACCCTGACATTTATCAGCTGAGACAAACAACTGGAATACACAACTTACACACCACCTTATGTATTTCATGACATCTATTTGTTACTCCCCTTCTTCCTAATATCTTGAACAAAATATCCTTATTTATTGTTCTTGCAAACCATTTTATCTTGAACTAGATTAACATGTCTGTACTAGCTAAAATATATTTGCGTAACTATCTAGTGCCTAGTACACTAACAAC